ATCTCAGATAGAGAACAAATGTCATTTCTTCATGAAGCATGTATAGGTAGTCAGTAGCACTTCAAAAGATAACTTTCTGCTGCCTTGATTTCACTATTCACTCAGTATTGCCAGGAGCACATTGAAATCTTTATAGCTCATGGACATTTGATAAGATCTTTCAGTAGTACCCCTTAGGCACTCCCTTAAATGAATGAAGAGAGCACAGAGAAAAGACTGAGTGTGAACAGCCTTTATATTTCGTGTAACAGCACAAGCATCTGTGAAGATCAGTAGAGTTGTATCTGGGGCATGTATCAACTGGTATAAGGTCTGAATTTATCTGAGCAACACAGATGATGTTTTGGTTCCTTAACTGGAAAAGTTAAAAGAAGCAAAGCAATGTAGAAGAGCTGATGTGCCAGGTCACCTAAGAAAAGTATTTTAAGAGCTAAGTTTCTTGCCTGCAGACTAACTTACTCTCTATATCCTTGTAATTAACTGCTCCTTTCTGAGGTGAGGTGATTTTATTCTTTTATTGCAAAAGTTTGACAAAAGACAGATTGCTTTAACAAATTCTGCTCCATTTCTGTCCTGAAAACTAAGCTACTATGTGTCCTACCTGCAACAAAAGACATAATGTTACTTGCCTACTGTACAGACATAGCGCATTTATCTGCACCCTCATACGATATCCCTTTTTCAAAACAGACATTAGGGTATAGCTTGAGAAGATATGATTTAAAAAAAAAAAAAAAAAATCAGTCCCTAATGGAATTGCAAGAGGTTTCTATGACTTTCCAGAACCTGAGCTGTTCCAGTGAATGCTGTTTCAATCCTGAGAGGGGAACAGAAAAGGTTACAGAAGGGTCGTGTACGTAGGAAAGTTACAACACTAGCAGATAGAGCTGGATGGGGCAGTGCCAATAGTAAAGTTCAGATAATTTGAAGGGCAGTAATGTCAGGCTGTTGAGGACACCAAACAAACAAATGTTCTTCTTTCATTAGATGATGGATATCAACAGAGCCACTGTAATGATGCTGCCTGTGCTTTGTGCTGCAACTAGCATCTTGGGATTTTCCCAGGAAACCATTTTAAAACCTAAGTATAAAGAGATGGAGAGACAAAGAGGTGGAAACAGAAGAAAAAATACAGGTGGAATTCAGAAATTACCTTCTTTTCATTTACTAAAGGCAGTGTATAGAATTTGACTGCATTCAGTATACAGTGGGACTTCCCAGTTAAAAATGTAATAAACAAAAGTTTTTTGTCAATTTTTCAAGCTGTCTTCCCAAGTTACACATTATTCTGTGCACAAGGGAATTTCTCTAGTAATTACTCCTGAGTACCCACAGGAATAAATGTTAATTACACCACTTAAACACAAAAATAGATCCTTGTGCCATCAGTTCCATGACTGACAGGAAGCCTTACTCCAAATTTCTAGGTTGTTTTTGTTTTGTTTTTTTTTTAGTTTTCATATTCCTCTTGCACTGCAATATTGAGGGTGCACAGAGAGCTGTAGGGACTTTCTTACTTTGAAGTTTATATGAGCTACCTGTCTCATAACAAGTATAATAAGCGCTTGCTGTATCCTGGAGTTACTTTCCTCAGCTGAAGAGTAGAGGCAGCAGATGTTGTGTGAAATGAAATCCTCCATGACTACGGTGTTGCTCTGAGGGACATAATATCCACTCATCCCCAAGAGAATAAATCAGTCAAGCAAAATGGAATACTGCTGTGATTTCTGATCAGCATAAATGGATATCGTAACACTACTAATACACCATGCCACCAAACAGGCTAAGAACCAGGTGCAAAATTGGCAGAAGAATCTTGAACCTGTGTTGTGATGGTCTGAGAAATCATAAAGATTATCAAGGAGAAATACTGCTTCTACTAGATAAAGGTCCACCTTCACCACTAAGCAATATTGCCAAGCTAGAGAAGAATGAAAATGTTGAAAAACATAAAAAGCAAACTGATATCTTGGTGACCTATATGTAATTTGTACCATTGTCCTAGAAGATCTGGTTAATATCTGGTCACAGTATTCTTCGTACTTTTGTACTAAATTTGGAATTGTTTTCATTAAAATAGTTTGTTTCATTAGACTGACTTGCTGAGTTAAAGATTCTAAATGTATTTGCCCTACCTTGGAACAAGGCGCCAAATAGAAATCCTGTGTCTGTGATTCAGTTCCTGAATATACTCAAGAATTAAGATATTCCTGCTTCTGCATCATAAATAATCTAACAGAATCAAATACAGTCTGGCATAGATGACATCTGATATTTGGAAATGCAACATGAAACCTAAATATTATGAAACTAAAGTTTCCGCTCAGCCTACTTCATCCACAGTAAATGTATTTATTGTTTTGCACCATGGGGTGGAATTTTCACATTCCTGATAGCTTTAGATTAGAAGAGCTTTAGAAAAAGCTCTTTAGAAAAGCTTTAGAAAAAGATGTAATGCTAGTTATAGCAAAGGGCTGATATGTGGTCAGGAACAGGATGCTTCATGGCTCATACTCAGAGGATAGCAAGGTAAGAAGTACCACTCTAATGACCAGCTAGCCTATGCTCTGAGCATCCTTGGAGAACACTGTGTCCAGAAATGCTTTGCACTGAAGGTCCATGATTCCTCACAGCACCATGTAGTGCCAGACTTGCAAGACTCTGTGAAGGTTGGATATGCAATCAATGGTAGAATTTGCTTGGCAAGGCTGAGGACATGGACCACCCCTGTGAAAACACAATTCTCTCTCTGCCCCAAGATATGCCTGGCAAGGTGTGTTGAGAATTACAGCTGAATATCTCCTATCTGTTCCATTTGATGATCTGGATTAATTGTAAAATGTGTCTGCGGTTTTATCCCATTCATCAAGTGCCTGCACGAGTGCTGCTGCCTGCACCCTCAGGTGAGGAAATGAGAGACTGTGGGCTCTGCAGAAGCAAAGGCAGAGGGTCAGCTATCTCAGCAGCAGCTTGTGCTATGTTAAAGTTATTTTAAAAGTACTGCAAAGTCACAATTGTCATCAATATATCTGAATGGATAACCTTTATCCTGCCACCTTGTATTTATAATGAAGCAGGTTTTAGCCATTTTTCAGCAATGGTAATAGTACTTTTTATATATCTAGCTAAAAATGTGTAATAAATCACAATAATCTCCCTGGTTTCTGAAACTTATACGTCTTTGTGATTATATAGTAATGTTGTGAGAACCTCTGTCTTACAAGAAGCAAATGTTCCCTGTGAAAATATCTGGCTTTAATTCCTTTACCCATAGTTATTGCGCCTACTGAATTAAGTACTACTCACAGCATGGCACAACTATCTATGAAATAAATTAAATGCATCATGCATAGTCAGCAGAAGTTCAGCACTGCAGTTTAAAGAAAGTGGCTTTATGCTATCCTTATCTAAGTTATGCTTTGTGCTGCAGTACTTCTCCTTTGCTTCCTAACTACTGTAGAAATACAGGTGTTCTTCCAGTTGTGTCTAAGTATCTCATGTTAACAAAATGCAACAGATAGAAAAACAGGATTTTTTAAAATGTATTTTCAATCTTTAGTAATTCAGGAACAGTAATAAATAACATCAATAACCTAAGTAGGTAGTGAATTCTGGAAGTATATCTGAATGGTAGAAGTGCTGGGGTTTTCGTTCCACTTAAATAAAAACCATGTTGTGTGAAACAAATATAAACTGATTATTCACTGTTTAGTTTAACTAAAACACTGTAGGAATGACTCAGCTTTTCAATATATGCTGAAATGTTAGCTGCACAAGAAGTTGAAATGAGCACCAAACCTAAGTTATGTAGCATGGGTTCAAGTTCTAAGGCTTAATGTTTTTTGCTACAAGCCATGTAGATGCAAATCCTCACAGCTGTTGTTTGAATGCATGTAGAAGGAGTACAGATATACTGCTGTATGATATACCCCAGTGCCAAATTAACTTGAGCCCACCTTTCCTCAACACTCCTGGCTGCTGCAGAATGCCCTTGGGTAGGAGCGGAGCGTGTGCTGCTGACACCATGTCCTCTCCTAACCACATTTGCTTAAAACTGAGCTGCTTCCTACAGAATAAAATGTATGTTTGTTTGTTTGTTTGTTTTCAAAGACAGAAGTACTACATTTATTCTAATTTGCATTTGCTTGTAGTAACTGTTACTCTGGGAAAGCAACAGTTGTTGTAGAAAGATGTGAACCATTTAGAATGACACTGGCATCTAAACTTTCCAAAGTAATATAACCTGGCAATGGATATTCTAGCTTAGTGATGCATGGAATACTACTTCCAGCTGTATAGTGCAGGTCACTGGAAAGAAAATTACCTTGGCCTAATGAAATCTGGGGAAGACCAGCAATGAGCAAAAGCAAATCTTCTGACACCAGAAATAGTGCCAAAGCTGGCAGAGTATATTGGAAATACATATTTATTTTTCCTTTTATTTACAGAAAATAATTCTCAAGTAGCAAACCTCTCAGACATGTTGTAATCTTGGCTCATTATTAACAGACAGTCATTACTGCCCATGTCAATTTCACTGGTCTGACATAGACCAGTGAAGCCCATACTGACTTTAATTAATTAATTAAAATCACTTTCTAACTCACGTTTAAAGTGAATAACCATCTTGCCAAAACTTTAGTACCATGGAAAAAGCTCTGATATTCATATTGCAATGAACAGCTCAGACTCTAGCAAGTGCTACCCAAGCTGTGTAACTTGGTGTTCAGCGGAGTGTAGCAGTTCTTTTAGTCCATCTGAAGTGATAAGAACAGATGTGATTGAAAGGCACAGTAGTATAAGCTTATCACCTAAATGTGGTCTTCTGGAAACTGCTTTTCTGACAGAACTATGACCTGGATAGCAGAGTTGATGCTCACATGCTTCTGTTACCACAAGCTGTGAGAATTAATAAAATTAGAGGATATTATAGAAATGTGAATGTACTTTATGACGGTCTATAGTAATTCTGTACATCTCTTATGTCTGTGTTCTTATAGCCGCTTGGGCACTGAAGTAGCTGAAATGAGAAAGAGGCAGCAGTCACAAAATGAAGGAACATCAGCTGTGTCTCAAGCACCTGGAAACCAAAGGCCCAACAACACATGTTGCTTTTGTTGGTGCTGTTGCTGCAGCTGTTCATGGTATGTCCTGTAGTATATTTGGTTCCATATCCACAACAGGTAAACAATGAGGATGGCAAGTGCCAAGAACTGGGAGCATGCAAACTTTTGGGAGAGGATTGCTGCCAAGAGGCACAATTCAACATTTTACACAAACACACACAAAAAAACCCACATTAAATCATTCCCTAATTTGGCTGGACATCTTGTGAGGGGGAAGAGGAGAGAATAGTAAATTCAAGCTGTATTTACCCTACCTAAATCATTCTAAATGATAAAAAATCCATTAAAAAGCTAATATATGTGAGACTTCATACTGAATATTTTATATTTTGCATTCAAAATATGCAAGTTTTTTTTTTTTTCTATATTTATTTTCTGCTATTTCTTTTTTATATTGTAGTTCTCTGCATTCAGGAGGGAAAAAGGGAGGACTGTATTACCAGTTAGTTGTTAAATAATTTATAATTTGAAAATTTGGAATCACAGGATTTAAATTCTACTTCCACCAGTGACTGGTATATCAAAATTTTAATGGAAAAAAAGGCTCAGGAATTATGTTTGCTTGTCTATTGCTGAACAAAGAATTGGCTTGGAAAGTCAAAGAATTAAACACAGTTTAAGAAATAGCCTTAAATTCTCAGTATCTTGAGAGACATCAAGTCTTTACTTCTTACTGTTGTGAACGTTTAATGTTGACAGATAAATTAATTCACTTGCACTGCTGCTCAGGGCCTGTGCATCCTATTACCTATGCAGTTCAGTCTCTGGAGTGACCATTCCTCTGTGTATCTATATTATTTTCACTTGAAACAGCCCTCTTCCTCTAATATAAAATCAGAGCCTATTTGCTCCCAGTACATTTAAAAACATATACAAGTAGATATTTGGAACAAAGATGAGCAAATGCTCATGCTTTTATCAAGATATTTTGTTGTGTGTTAATTCCATACAGCAAAAAGGTAGAAGTGCTTTAATGGAAAGAAAAGGAAGAATGTTTTGCTACTGTTGTTTTCTGCTGTGTTTTAAGTTTAGCTGTACTGTTACAGACCAAAAGTCCATTGAGCTCAGCATCTTACCTCAAGAAGTGACCCAAGGAGGCTAGATGGGAAGGGTAAAAGAAGTGAACATCCACCTCCTTGTCCTTATCCCAGCAAAGCTCACAACTTCTGGGAATCAACAACTTAACGACTTCCTAACCCAGAAGTTTTATAGCCCTTGATGAATTATCCTTCATTAATTTTTCTAACTATGTTCTGAAGTGACTTCCTGAACTCGCCTAAAATTTTGGCATTTCAGGTATTCCTTATCAATATATTCTACTTTTGACCTGTGCTCTGTATCATCTGTTAATTCCTTTTTTTTTTTTTTCTACTATGAGAATCTACTATGAGATAATTTCATTTGATTCTTCTTTGCTATGATTCTGAGGAACAGGGAATAATTTTATTCCTAATGATCATTTTTTAAAATGTTCTGTTGTATCTCCTTTCATCTATCTTTTCTTCCATAGTCTTATCTGTAATCTGTGGTACAGAAATTGACCCAGTTCTTTATACTTATCTATTTGCTGTCTATCCACCTACCTCGTGTCTTTCTATGTACATTTCCTATTCTACTGTCTCCCATGTGACATGTGACCAGAATTTCTGCAGTAGTGTAGATAAGAGTACAAAAAATGCTTTTGCTGTAACACAGCAATTTTTTGTTCTAGTTTTTTTATTATTCCTAACATCTTGTTTGCTTTTTAACCATCCCTAAAATTACACTTTCATAGAATCATCCATCATGACTGCAAAATCGCTTTATTGAATAGAAATAGAATTCAACCTTGTGCATGTATAACTAGAGTTGGATTTTGCCTTACATACTGGAACATGAAAGATCGTAAAAGTATATCTAATTTCTAAAATTTATGAACATTTGGTTATATTTTTTAAGCATGCTACAACTCAAGAACCCTTATTTGACAAATATACTGTTTTGAAGCTTTCATGAGTTCTGTTACCCTTGAACTGCCTCTGCTACTGGGAATGCAATGCCATTAAGTATTTGAATGGATTATGCATACTAACCCTAAGAGCGTTTATTGCTTTAAAATATAGGACGTCCTTTCAGCTGCTTTGGTAACTGTTTCTGCTGTTTGATATCCTATCTTTCAGGAGTTCAGGGGGAGTTGAGTGCTAGTTTGTTGTTGGGTTGGTTGGTTTGGTTTTGATAACATACATTAGTTTGAAAATGCAGAAATCCTGTCAATTTAAACTAATTTTTTTGATTAAGTCAAAACAATTAGTCAAATTGGATAATGACATTGCTTTTATTTTCTAAAATGAAAAAGAGAAAATAGATAATGTCTTTCCCAATTCTGTCTACTATGATTCTATAGAGTAAACCCCAGAAGAGGGGAGATAGGACAAAACTTTGAGAAAGGCAATATGAAATGTTTCAGAATCAGAGTTAAAGCAAATTGGTTCTAGTTCCAAATTTGTTTGGTAAATGTGAATAATCCACGTGGTGTACAGATTACTGTTCTTTCTCCATCAACTTGCCTTAATAAAATAGAAAAAAATACAAAACAAACTTTGCTAGTCATTCATTATACAGGTGATTCTTGGTAGGTAATTCACCACAGTCACAATATAAGAAGAAGAATCATTGTAACAGCTTCTCTGGACCTATTGTAATTACTTGCTTTCTCTAGTTCCACAAGTATTTTGAGTAACCTGAATTTCTCTGGATACCAGTTTGGAAGTGTAGCTGAGTTCATTAATGTGATGATAATGCCCTTGCTGTCAATATCAAGATAAGAAGGCTTTTCTTCTGTTTTTCCTTCAGCTTCTTTGACTGTGGACAACTCTTATATCAATGTTCTTCAGTGCTTCAACTTCCTCACTATTCACAGAAAGGGAGGCGGTTTATAGCAAGAATCATTCACTTATATCTATTTGAAAAGTTAGTCCAACAGTTTGTATCTCCATACAAATCACTGCAATTCTAAAAGTGTCTTCTGTAAATCATGTGATGTTTGTTTCCTTTTTTTCCCTACCCTGTGTTAAAATCAGAATAGACATTAAGTCTTCTGTTTGCATAACAGTATAAGCAAATATTGGCACCTTTGTTTGAGGAAATAATACCTTGCCTAATAGAGCAAGCAACAGTTTGGATCCAGAAACTTTCAGCACATCTTTTTATAAACAGTCTCCTCTCATAATTCCTTCTTAAAGGTAACAAGCAATTGGAGCACATTACCATTATTGTTTGTTAGCCCCACAGGCAACTGAAACTTGCCCTTCCTTCCTTCCTTCCTTCCTTCCCTCCAAGTGGGTTAGGAAGAGAATTGGAAAGGTGAAAGGGATAAAATTTGTGGTTTAATTGCAGTTTAATAAGTAAAGCAAAGCTGCTTACACAAGCAAAGTGAAACAAGGAATTCATTCACTCCTTCCCAGGGGCAGGCAGATGCTCAGTCATTTCCAGAAAAGCAGGGCTCATCATGCATAACACCAGAAAGATGAACATCTCCCTTCTTCCTTCTTTCCCCCAGTTTCATTGCCATATGACATCATATGTAATGCGATACCATTTTGGTCTTTTGGGGTCAGCTGTCATGGCTGGATCTCCTCCCAACTTATTGTGCACCCACGGCTTACTTGCTGGTGTGACAGTTCAAGAAACAGAGAAGACCTTGACCTTGCTAGTGTAAGCACTGTTCAACAACAACTAAAATTTTGGTGTGTTTTCAACACTGTTCTGTCCACAAATCCTGAACACAGCAACATACCAGCTACTTTGAAGATAACCAGCTCCATCTTAGACCTAGTAAATCCATTGTCACAGATAATTGTCAGTAGAATAAGTTGCTCCATTTACAGAGCAGGTCTGGATCATTAAGGTTTGCTCACATTGGCTAGATGGAGATAAGCAGACTCTTTAAGATGGCATTTAATTGTTATAGGCATGGTCGGAATGTTGCTCAACTGGATTAAGCATTGAGCTGGTACCTTAGTGTCAGTAGCTAAGGTATATCCTTAATGGAGACAGTACAGTGTTTATAAAGTCATCAACAAGAAAAGGTTATCCAATCAATTGAGGCAAATATTTCCCTCTGGAGGTCCTCCTGTAACGCATTTCTCTCTCTGTTGATCAGATGTAGACTTTAGGTGTTTGCTTCAGAAAGGCTGCCTCATTAAAGCATCGAGAATTTTAGTACAAATCTCACCCTGTGTCTTAAACCCTACAAAGCACCATTCCCATAAAGAAGAAAAGATTTCTTCACTAGGCATAATTGATTTAGGTAGTTTAAGAGTGGCAAAATTTGCCATAGCTCTCCTAGAAGGACTGTATAATTTCCTCAACTGCACTGTCTCCAGAGAGCTAAACTATTAGTATTTAGTGCTATGGACTGCTTTGAGCTCAGCCCAGTGAATGAAGGGTGGAAGCCCATTATTTCGCCCTCTTTAGTGATTTGCCAGTTCTCAGAAACTCAAGGCACTAAAATGGGGACATTGTGTATTTTTATTTTGCTCCCTCTTTTGTTTCTCACCTAGACAAGGAAATAACAGCTGTTTGTCCTCTTCATTTCATAAGGTGCTCAATGAATTTCAAAGCTTTGAAACACTCTCATGCCTGGTTATCTCTCTCTTCTTTCACCACACACAGGAAGGTTCAGGAGATGTCCAGCATCTGCCCTGCAAGAGACTTTTTCAATGCAGGAGCCTGGGAACATCAAAAAGCTTCCTTGGAATAAGTGAAGCTTATCACACAACCATAGCTCATAGTTCTGTAGCTTATTTCAAAGGTCTGAGCTGCAAAGTCTTTTCCTTAAAAGGAGCCATTAAAGCAGTTGCTGAGGGCTCTTGTGGAAGAGGTGCTCATATGCCTAACAGTCTCTGAGTTGTGCCCGCAGAAAAGTTATGGCTGCCATTTGACTTCTTATGACCCTTTTGTAACTGGTTTCCCACACACAAGAGATCTCAAAGAAGATAGGGTATTTGCCAGCTTGGAAGAAAACAGGAGTTACTGTT